TTCTTTCGAGGGAGACATTATTGTGACCTAAAACAAATTAAAAAGCTTAAAAGAAAATAAAGATTGGGGCTTTCCACCGGTGATATCCGATGGAAGCCCCTTAAAATTAACAATGGAGACTAGGTTTAGGAGAGAAAAGAGAGAAAAGGAGGCTAGGGTTTTTTTACTACTTTTTTTTTATTTATTTATTAATTTCATATTATTTATTATTTTAGCCCAATAATGAATAACAAACCTAAATAGCCCGAAATTTTGACACGACACTTAAAAATGTTGAGTGTAATTAGGGTTAAAATGAATCTGGACGTAAAAATGGAAAAAAGTCCACCGTGTCACGGCATCATGTGCCGCACCACGGTGGAATTTGCCGCGTCACGGTGCTCATACCGTGACACGGGAAGCTTCCGTGTTTTTCTCGTGTCCGTACTTGCACGTGTTTTATCTTTTAGGGTTGTTTCTTCCCCGCGTCACAGTACAATATCCCGTGTCACAACATATTTTGCCGTGTCGCGGCAATCTGCTGACGTGTCATGTCACGACAACCAATTTTATGGTTTTATCTTTTTAGGGTTTCGTGTGTCCCCTCTACTCATTTTCCCTATAAATACCCCCCTCATTTCTACAGGTCGGGGCATAAATTAATTCTTTTTTCTCTCTTCTATGCTCTAGCCTAAACACTAGCCTATCTTATTCTTCAAAATACTTCCTTTAAGCACTCCAAGGAATCCGTACTTTACCCGAAGTTTCTTCCATAAACCAAGGCGTGAAAGGTAGAACTGTTTGAGGGTTTGGCCCCAAATCAACTCTATTTAATTTAATTTTAATTATTGTTTTATTTATTTCCTTGAAGTGACTAACTCGTTTATTGTTTTATAATTGCAAGCAAGCAAAATCAAAGTAAGTAATCATGTTCCTTTTATTTCTATTATTTTTCTAACGATTTTATATTGTTGGATTATTGTTAAATTGCTTCCAATATTAATGTTAATTCTATTATATATTTATTGATCACCATATTTCATGTTTAAAGGGAATATGTAATTGAAAATCACGACTAATAAGATAATAAAGTTTCGTATTATAATAAAAGTTTTTTTTTCTTATGGTGTTATAATCAAAATCACTTCCTTGAAATAATAATAAAAACTTCCTTGAAATAATAATAAAAAAAAATCACTCAGTTTCGTGTTAATATATTGCAACACTTTTTTTTTCATTCGTTACATATTAATTACACCGCTTACTTATTTGTAATACAAACTATTGATTAAGAAGGATTTTAATTAACTTATGGAAAGACGAGTTAAAGTTATTTAAAATCACGTTACTTTTTTTTTTTACATAAATTTTACCTTTAAAACACTTATAATGTATTAGATTAATCATATTAACCATTATAACATGTATCCATTAAAAGTTAAAACACAATCAAACATATCTATTTATACTTTAGTTAGTATTTAAAAACACAAACCCATTTTGCCACATATCCTCTTTTCTTTGTACTCCCTCCTTTACATATTACTCGCAACAAAGGAATATTTTATGTCTCACAAATAATACCCCTTTGTTGCGAGTAATTCGTAACGGAGGAAAAATATTTCATTCGCTATAATATTTTGCCACGTGTCATTTAATTTTACATTCCTTTATAATTTTTTTTATTGACCCTCTTTATATGTCATTACTTATTGTAGAACTTTTCTATCTTCCCCCATTTATTTATTAATAGCTCTAAAAATTAGTAACATCCTTTTTGATTCAACATATCGAATTTCTTAATCTTTCTTCTTCACATTCCATCTTTCAAATTCAATTCCATCTTTCAAATTCAATTTAATTGAATGTGTTATTTAATCCATTGACCCTTTACCATCTTACCAATATTTCCTCTCATAATATAAATTTCTAATGAAGCTTTCCACTTTTTGTATCATCTAAATTCCCCTTATAAATTTGACACAAAAATATCTTTAAAAATGTTGTGCAAAATCTGTTCTATGATGAAGATGGTATATTGAAAGGAGATAATTTAAAGCTCAAATAAGGGAAAATTGAACGGCAAAAGAAGGAAAGGATGTAAGAATATTCGGAAAACCCATAATGTATGACATTGTTTGCATGTCATAAGACTATGCATACTTTCAAGATACTAAATGACCTCTTTTGAAAATCTCATATTTGATGTAAAGTATAAATTTATAACAAGAATTTGGTCTCCAATTATTTGATTTTATATAACTACCAAGCATCCATAATGTTACAGTATTATAAACGTCTTTTTTCGTAAATGATTTTATAACATAAATAATAAATTATACACAGGCACACAGCTCGCGCGTAGAATGAGCTAAAAAGCTAGTTATAAATTAAAAGTTTTACTTTAATGGGTCATAGTTATCGTAAAATTTGTTAAAGTTACTTTCAGATTACCTTTCAGTAACCTTAACAAAAGTTTGTCTTATATAAGAGTCATTAACAAAAGTTTGTCTTATATAAGAGTCATTGATTTGATAATGATCTATTACTAACTTTTTGTATTATTTTTTTCCTCCCGCTGACTACTCTTACAAAACTTGAATAGTTAAATAAGACAGACTTTCATCAACTTATAGTAAGACGATTTAAAGTAATCTTAAAAGTATTTAAAATTACCCTTATATACTTAAAATTTGCCTTTAAAAAACACTCCTCATAATGTATCAGACTAATCATATTAGCCTTTATAATATGTATCTATTAAAAAATGCATAAAAATACAACTAAACTCATTACAAATTAAAATGTACTCTTAAATGAATTACTGTAAATTTGTTAAAGGATACCAACACGTCTTTTCATAAAATTAGCGAAAATCCGTCTTATACATACAAGACTTCACATATTTTATTATCTTATATTCTTACTAACCCCATTTTCACTGCATTTTTCTTTATTAATTCTCTAACCTTTAAATTGAATGGGTCATGTGAGAGGTAGTATGAAAAATGCACTCTAGCCCCATAAAACATCACATGTGATTGAATTGAAAGAGACCTTACATGTAAGAGGAAGGGGGAGCGGTGAAGGTATGTCATTTCCAAAACAACACTAAGTGTCCTACATTGAGAAAAGAAGATAAAGTTAAGCACTATATAAGAGACTACTGATCCTATAGGAAAATGGTTTTGGAATGAAAACTTCTTGGACTTGTGAAGTGGACTCTCTCTTTTGATTGTGGATGTAGCTCAAATCAAATTTAATATGGTATCATAGCTAACGTGACACAAAGATCACATTTCAAATCTTATCAACCCCAACTTTAAAGTGAAAATTATTTCGTGCAATAGAGTGTATAAATCAATCATTGCAAAACAGAGCAAGCATCGTAATCAACTTCCAATATTTCCTTTTATCATCGGAAATTGACTCCATAATTGTTGTTGAGGGCCTTTGTAGATAGTGGTGGGAAGTTTTAAGGGATTAAAATTTAGAATATGAGGGTAAAGTATAACCGATACAAGTATAAATAAATTAATGCTAGACTATTTTTCTATTTAATAAAAGCCCACTGCCAACTCATGAAAATGTGCAACAGGTCAGTCAATGAGGATATCAAAAAGGAAGCAAGTAGAGAAAACAGATATAACTAGTAATATCACACTGTGAACAGGTACTTATTCTCTATATAATATTTTCATGGCCATACTTTATACGTACTCCTTTTGCCCCCAATTATTTGCCTGTAAACTCATTTTATTTAACAAGTATTAACTTTTAATTGAGTTAATTTTATATGAGAGTAAAGTTGTATTACTCATGATAAAAAAAACATATACTTCCTCTATTTTTCTAAGTTTTACTCAATTACCGTAGCTACGCAAACTAAAAAAAAGTAGAAAAAGGGGATCATGTATGTAGGCAATTTTAGAATATGGGTTTACTCTAAATATAATTGGGTCTCACAAAATAGGGTTGTATATGATAAAAATAAATAAATAAAAGATTGTCATAATAGGAATAGCAAAAGCGAGTAACATTTAGAAAAGCGGATGAAAATGATAATGAAAATTGAGTAACACTTAGAAAAACAGATATGAAACTTCCTTTTAAAGACAACATTAAATGAAATATGAGGCAAACAATAAGAGACGGATGGATTTTGATGCTTACAAAAACAGCAAAAACTGACAAACAATATACCTGTAAAGAAGAGATACCTAATCATTGGCATAACATGAGGTCTGTAACCACTACTACAACCTGTTACAAGAAATACTAGGAATCAATAATCTTTAACATATTTATAGATAAGATAACCCACCACCCTACTAATGATTCTGTTTGTTGTTAATTATACACATTAATTCATAATTAGTTGGCGAATAATTTTGTTTACAGCAATGTTTATACTATAAATACTACCCATCTAAACCTATCCTTTTCATTCCACAGTCCACAATCAATCAGAACAAAAAAGCTTACTTTTTCTCTTTGAAAGTGTGCTTTAACACATTCTTGTTTCAAGGAAGAAATGGAAGCTTGCAAGTTCACCTCCTTCATTGTAGCTATGATCATGGTTTGCTCGATGTTCGCCACCTTTGGCGCAGCTCAAAATGCTGCCACCGCACCAACTCCTTCGCCGCAGAGTGCTGCTGTGTCTCTGCAAGTGCCAGCCTTGGTTGCTGTTATGGCTTCCTTAGCAGCTTGGATCTTCTAAAAATGACAAACGTCTACGTATCATTTTTTTTAGTTCTTGAGTTTTCAGTGTATCTTATTGAATGTTTTGTGTAAGATTCTTTCCTCTAAACTTCAATATTCTTCTTTGATTATTCAATAATAATTTGGTTCAATTTGTTTACATGTTCCTTACCTTTTTCTGAGTTGATTTTAGCAATAAAAATTGAATTTGGAGCATAAAAATGGCTAGAACTTTAGTACTTATGGTTGCACTACATGGCACATAATTGCAACCTCTTTCAACCCCCAAAACACAAGGGGTTCCGGAAATCTACCACCTCTTGTAAACGATTGTATGAGATTATTTAAGTGAAAACAAAAAATATTATCAAAATCAAGATCCGACTGATAGAAGTAGCTGACCACACTGAGAACAGATGAGTTGCACAACTCGGCTGATTATTGTCAGCTAATGTATACAGAAGGGTGATTGCGGAAGTTCACAGTTTCACACTACATCAATATAATCACTAAAAATATTGAAAAATGGCAAACTTTTGTACACATTATCAAGTATGACAAACCATGCTTAAGAAAATGCAACAAAATCACTGTTGCTTGATAGCACCAAATAATTCTTCAAACGACCGTTTAGGAGCATCTGGACTAGCAATTATCTCTACTACTTTGTAAGAAGCCTCGGGATGATTTAATGCCTCAACAGCAACTTCAGCTACCTGATCCCTTGATATACTGCCTCCAGAAAGAGTATCCTATCAGAGTACAAAAATATAAACACGTAAGTTCTTGGCAATTGCACAAATGTACAGTAGAAGGCAGAAATAGCGAAATGAGGCACGCAGTCACCTCTGGCTCCATGATTATATTTCCAGAAGGAGGATCATTTTTCAATCCACCAGGCCGTACAATTGTGTAGTTTATGCCAGATTTCCGGATGTAATTTTCAGCCTGTAGCTTTGCAACTAATACAAGTCCAAATACATTAAGAAAGATGTAGGCTGGATTAAGCAACTGCCCCATTGCAGCACCATTGACTAAGATGGAACTAATAAGAATAAATCTCTTGACACCACGCTTGCGACATGCTTCAACAAGGTTGAGAGTTCCGTAATAATCCACCTGCATTGGATGATGTGATTAAATAGACCAATTATATCATCTCACAAACATGATACAAATGGATGTGTAAGATCACAGGGACGCAAGTGTCTCCAATATGAATGTAAGCCAAAACAATAAAAGGTGGTGGCTAAGAGGAAGAAACAGAATGTAATGACTGGTCAGGTCAAAACCATATCTTGAACAGATCAACAGAGATTAAGGGCAAGTCATTACTCAATAGTGCTTATCTATTCTGATGATTAACACAACAATCAAATTATCAGTATACATTATTTTGTATTTTTCCAGAAGTCGCATATAACAGCAACAGGCTGCACTTATTGCTGTCAATTGTCAAGCAAACACCCACACTTAAAAGAGTGACATAGTATACAAACTGTTCTACATGGAGCAACGGTGTTTAGTTAGAAATTAAATTATATGAGAATCAAGCACGCACTCAATATTTTCCAACTTTACTATTCATATAGCTCTTAAATAAGACGGGTAATACTTTGCACCACAAAATAAGAAGGATAACACATTACTGGGTACCTAAACAAGCAGAAGCTACAAATGAAGAGTTTCTTACCTTCCACGGAGCCAGCAGATCCCATGAGCGTTGGAATCCAGTTGCACATATTAAAGCCTCTGAGTCATCACTTATGGCTTCAGCTAGCTTGTCTGAACCCTCAGTAACATCTGCTTTAACCTGCAAACAAATTATAGACCTCAAATTTAAAAAGATGATCCAGCTAATATTGCTTCAAATTAAAAATCTATACCTCCATTCTGGAATAAATGTATTTCACTTTCTATTTAAAATTGTCCCAACCACACGAATTGTAGTTACAGCTATATTACAAGGATTCGGGTACTCTAGTCATACTTAAGTACATGTCCAAGTGTCAAATTTCAGCTAATTAAAAAAAAAAAAATCATGAATTTTGTCCTAAATAAAGTGGAAAGTATCCATAAGACCATAACTACATCCAAGTGTTGTTTTTGACCCTGACGCTTAAGGTAAAACCGTAAAATGATGTCCCAAGCTTTAAATTACTAATAATAGCTGGTTAGCAGTGATAAGTGATAGAGTTATGAGAAAAGCGAATGTTGGAAAGCTTGATTATATTGATGAATATACACGAGTATATATAGTACAAGATTAGAACATTGAACATACCAAACTATGACTAGATACTATATGTGACTAGGTACGTTAGCTAATTATAAGGGATATACTTTGTCTATTAAAATTAAGGAGTAAATCAAGGGATTTACATATTCTAAACAATAACTAATAATGATAATGATGATATAATCATCTTTATCCTTTACACGCCCCCGCAAGACGGACGTTCGGAACAAGAGACCGATCTTGGATATAAGATATTAAATCTTGTTCAATGTAGGAATTGAAGTGGTGGTGAAAAAGGTTGCATTGCGATTCTCCAATTCAATAAGGTCTAGAGGGAGTGGAGCAATAGAAGGTTTTTTTTTATTTTTTTTTTTTTCTTTTGCTAAGAAGAAAAAGAAAAGGAAGTGTATTAAAGGAGCTTTTTTTTTTTTTTTTTTGGATGGAGGAGTTGCGTGAAGAAGTTAAAAGATAGTATATATAGAGAGAGATTAAGAAGTTGTTTAATGGGTGTTTTTCACGGTTTTTAAACACATGAACCATTGATTGTAAATATTCAAAAAAAATAAAAATAAAGAAATTTCAAATTGGCTAGCGTATGCTTGCAACAAATGGAAGGGAAAAAAATATAGAGGTTCCTTGACCACTATTGAAGGCGAGATAGAAAAATTGTAATGGTGGTGTAATGGTGGTGTGATGGTGGTTTAGAACATAATGTTATGTTTCTCCATAATGGTTTTGGAGAGAAATTCGTATATGGTAACACTTGGTAGGTAAACTACGGGATATCGAAAAAGCTTAATATCTCCGTGTAAGGGATTTGGAGAAAAAAAATATATATGTCAATGGCATATCTTGGTATATGAAATACGGGGTGCCAAAAGAGTTGAGCGAAAAGTGTGTTTTTGGTTTGAAACTTTCCGAGAAGAAAGTTTGATATGGTCACCATCATTTGTCGGTGTCAGCAAAGGGTTTTGATAGTGTAACCATGGTAGTAGCGGAAGCAAGAAAATATGGATCAAAAGCTCACCATGATAGAGTTATGAGAAAAGCGAATGTTGGAAAGCTTGATTATATTGATGAATATACACGAGTATATATAGTACAAGATTAGAACATTGAACATGCCAAACATGACTAGATACAATATGTGACTAGGTACGTTAGCTAATTATAAGGGATATACTTTGACTATTAAAATTAAGGAGTAAATCAAGGGATTTATATATTCTAAACAATAACTAATAATGATAATGATGATATAATCATCTTTATCCTTTATAATAAGGAGGTTGAAAAGTAGAGTTATGTTGGCTATACGGGGGTCGATGATTCTTGTAGCCTTCTTTGTGACTTCGATCATTAGACCCGCATACACTTCTTTGAATGCTTATTATGCAAGAAACTGCCTCTACGCTCTTAGAGTATAGATTCACAAAGTCTGTTTGTTATCTTGGATACTATAGCTGTGGCTGTATATGTAATGTGGTGAACCTGGCCTACAGGGAAATATAAAGTTTTGAGTGGATCACAGAAACTTTTGGTGCAAAGAGTGGACCTTAGTGTGAAAATGATAAAAGATGCTGAGTTGACCAAAATCAACCTACACCATCATGCCTAAGAAGATTTATTCAGTTGATAACTTGATACTTTATAAGGATTGGTTAGCAAAGCTTATTTACGTAGTACATAAATTTTCAAGTTCTATTGGTTGATACCTGCTGTAGTTCGTATTTTGTAAGTTGGTTTGCTGCTGTCTTGCCTTTGGCACTCTGTTGGCTAGAAGGCCTAGAACTGTTATGTAATAGTACCATGGTCAGCATTCTCGAGGAAAATGGTTTTAGGCTCACCGTAAGCAGGGGCGAAGCCAGGAATTTAAACATAGGGGGGCCGAGACTTATTCAGTTAATAGTATTGTATTTCATACGATTTCCTCATTACATAATATTTTCTGTTGCAGTATTTGCAATATTATAGATTAGATTTGACTATATTTTATAAAGCAACACAAAATATTATTTCATCAGAATATTCAATATTACAACCATTCAACCATCGAGAACTTGCCTTTTTTTATTATAGCTAAGCAAAGGTTTGTGTACGATATATTTGGTATTGCTCTTGTAGTTCATTTGCACAAAAATAAATATTTAAATATATATATATATATATATATATATATATATATATATATATATATATAAGGTATGCAATTTACTACTTTAGTCAATTAGAAATATAGGGAAAATAACATAAGTTAAAATCAAAAGAATTGGCAAATTAATAAAAAGATTGATTGAAGGGGTAAAAGAAAAATAGATTAAATGCTTAAGTGCTCAACCACTAAGCTACAATTTAGAATACTAGATTTATACAAATAATAATCATTTTATCCTAAAAACTATAGGGGCCAGCCTTTTTAGATTAATGGGTCGGTTGTTGGGCCACGGGGGGCCAGGCCTCCACCAGCCCCCTCGTGGCTTCGCCCTTGACCGTAAGTCGAGTGCCTTTTACTTAGCTAAAGATAAACCCCTCCTTTGGGTAAAGACAACTCATTTTCATCGGAAAAATTAAGCAAACATAGGGTTATATTGATATAGGGTAAATTTCACTTCAAATTAATCCAATCTTCGTCCCCTAAATACTCCTTACTAAAATCACACCATGGGAGAATCAACTTTCATTTTGCGATGTAGGGAAATAATCATCACAGCTGCATCTTTCCAGTTGTATACAACTAACAAAAGTCTCTAAATTCATGAACTAAATGATCTAAATCACCATGTTCATGCCATTGCCAATAAATAGGTTTACTATTTTTATCCTAAAGATTTGATATAGGACTTTTCTTACAAAATTACACGTAAACGGGCAGTAAGACCACAACATTACATGTACCCTTAAATATATTACAGCATAAAGCCATCAAATACACTAGCTATCAACCACTTACCATTGAACAACACAAATATTTGCTCAGCAAGTAGCCATAATAATTAACAATTGTAAAAAAAATTCTCAAAACCACATACAAAAATTTCATTTCATTTCTTACTAAAGTTATTATGAGGTATAGTATACTCACAATTTCAAGGGCAGAATTAGTTGAAAAGGCTGTTTTCGCCTTCTCAAAGTCACGAACTCCAGCCTTAACAGAGTAACCCTTAGCCAACAACTGCTCCACAATTCTTTTTCCAGTGCTTCCAGTAGCTCCTGCTACAAATATCTTCTTCTGGGTACTCCCTCCTGCTTCTCCAACCTCCTTTATTTCACTTTCTTCCATCTAAAATAGAACACAACACAAAATTTGTCAAAATTCAGTTCATTAGTCAATTTAATCGGATTATAAGCATCTGGGTTTTTCTGATATTTGAATTATAGTACACTTCATGATGCAATTAAGCATAATGTCAAATAATCAACTGATTTTACCTCATATCAATATGATAAGAATTTAAGCAAATGGGTGTTTTTGAAACTTAATTTTGAGCTGAATTCTTGAAGAAAATAAGCATCATGTCAAATAATTAGTTGGCAATATCACTAAATTAGGAATAATAGCAACTGAGTTTTCCTGAAATTTGAAATATAGTACACTTCTGATGCAATTAAGCATATCAAATAATCAATTGATTTTACATTATATCAATATGATAAGAATTCAAGCAAATGGGTATTTCTTAATTCAAATTTTGAGCTGAATTCTTGAAGAAAATAAGCATAATGTTAAATAATCAGTTGATAATATCACTAAATTAGGAATAATAGCATCTAGGTATTTCTAGAAATTGATAGATTACCTTGGTAGCTTTGACAGAAAATGAAATTGGGTGGATTTTGTAGAGTGGAAAATTTGGGGTGATGGATTTGGAGAGTGAAATAGAAAGGGGGTGAAAGATACAAGTTTTGGTGAGGAAGATGGCCATGGAATTTGGGGTGCTACGCAATCCACCAGCCACTAGTTAAGCTTCATTGCACCCTTCATCTCTCCATGTATTGGTGTATTGCCACGTACCACGGCAATCAAGCTAGGCTTATTCTTTCCAATAGTTAGCTACGTTAGACATTGGACACGGGTGTGCAAATCTTTGTCCAGTCCACTTGAATCACAAACACTATCTCAAAATATAGGAATAATCACTTTAAAATGGCAAATTTGTTATAAAAAAAAATTAAAAAAAATAATATATAAATAAAAAAATAAAAAACTTTTAAAAGTACCATTTTGCGAAAAAAAAAAAAAAAAAAAAAAAAAAAAAAAAAAAAAAAAAACCTTTTAAAAGCTTTTTAGTTAAAAAAAAAACTACCAAGTTTAATTTTTTTTTGCGAGAGGAAACCTATTTCCTTAATTATCCTCTAATTAACTTAAATAGACTCTAATTTCCTCCCATTTCTTCTAATTAACCACTAACCCACCCAATTACTTAATAATAATATTTAATAGTCTTTTGGCCCGTTCAATACACGGGTTATAATTTAGGTTATTTTTATATGTATGTATGTATGTTTTTCAATAGTTGAAACTACGAAGTTATTGTTTCATGATTATTGAGGGGATTGAAACTATGAAAACTGAAAACTTATATATAAAAAATTAATAAATAAAAAAGAAAGAAAGAAAAAGAAAGAGTGAGGGTGGAATTGTGGAAGAAGATGAAGGACTTTTGTTAGGTATATTGTATATATACATGATTAATGTGGGATATGAAATGAAATATTAATTTAAGCTAAGTATTTTAAGTTTAAGAGATAAAAAGACTATTTTTATTATACTTCATATGTTTATGTAATGTATACTACTTAAGTAACTTTATTTTATCATTGTGGAAATGAAACACTTTATTTTGTGCAAGTTACGGAATACATAAAGATTTTAACATTATGTTATACATTTAACTTATTTTTAATATTAAAAATGTAAGGGAAGTGACATGTGACATATGAGTGAGTTGTGAGGACATGTAGCCTATGAGTGAGTTGTGAGGACATGTGGCAATGTGGCATATGAGTAAGTTATGAGGACACGTTGCATATAGATGATTGTGGTTTGTGTTTTTAAATATAGAAGTATATATTTATATATTAAAATAAACCACCAACCAACCACCCTTCCCCTTCTTCCTCCCTTTCCCCTTCCCTTTGAAGCAACCCCCTCACCCACCGGACCCATCGCCTAGATCCCCTCACTTCCGACGACCTAACTCCATCGCCAATGGACCATCCTTTTCCCCCTTATCCCCGTTGGCGACCACCACCTCCCTTCGAATTATGGATATTATATACTCAAACATGCTCAAATCAAGTCCAAATCAATTTCAATTTGTTTCTAAATCACCCTAGCATCATATACATACATAATCAAAGCCAAAACAAGCATCAATTGCAAGAAAGATGTACAAAATTTAAAACCTCCAAATCAATTTACTAGGGTTAGTTTTTCAAAATCAAGGAGATGGTTGTTGGGATGTGATTAGGGGGGAAGGGAGGGTCGTCTGGCAATAGAAGAGGTTGCTGGAGGTGGGGGGATCCGGACAGCAGGCCCGGTGGGGAGCAGGCCCGGTGGGGGAGGGGATATATATATATATATATATATAATATTAAATCTAATTATGTAGTAATTTGGTGGGATAGAGGTTAATTAGAAGAATTTAGATTTTAATTAAGTTAATTAGAGGGTTATTAGGGGAATAGGTTTTCTCTCGCAAAAAAAATGAATGTGGTGATTTTTTTTTTACAAAAAGATTTAATTTTTTTTTTCTGCAAAATGGTGCTTTTAATTTTTTTTTCTTTTTTCTTACAAATTTGCCTTTAAAGATCGACTGTTTTGTGAATAAGTATCTAATTTTATTAAAAAATATATATTTAGAATCACCTATAAGATGACAAAAGTTTGTCTATCACTACCCATAAACGATTTTCGTTCAATTACAAATTTTTACCTACACCCCAAGGCAGGGAACACTACCTGCACCCCCTCACCCTTCGCGCGTGTCCCACCCCGCCCTTTTTAATTTATGAATTTCCTGCAAATTTTTATAACATGTTCATTTCTGTACTGGTAAATGTTCATTTATGTATCATTAGATGTTCATTTTTATCATAAGAAGTTTTTTGTTCAAATTAATATACTCTTTGAATTGAATTTCAAGAATTATCTATAAATAAAAATGAGAGCAGATTTATTTATAATAATTGTTGCGTTCAAATCATTTTTATTATAAGAAGTATTGCATCATCCAAGGTTCATTTTTGTTTATTCGTGTTTCAACAAATGATCAATTTTATATCATCACATGTTCATTTCAAAAGCTATGTGTAAGTGTAAGATGTATGCAAATACGTACGTATTAGAATTCTATTTTTTTTTATAAATAAAACGTTGTTTAATAATAATTTCCACTATAAAATGAATTTAATATCCTCCCTGTTGCACTTCCAATCATATATTTGTGTGTTTTCTTCCATGAAAAATATAATCTGAGCACAATATATATGTCGCCTTCTACTTCCTCGCTTGATTAGAGATCGATCAAGTTTTTTTTAAAATAAATTTAATAATAACAACACATTCCAAACAAAAGTACGTGAATAAGAATTAAAAATTAAACATTTACACACGAAAAACAATTACGAATACATAGATGAACACACTATAAAGATATCAAAATCTTTCAATATGAGAATAAAAAAGAATAAAATCTAAATGAACATGTATTAATATAAAAAAGAACATATATCAAAATCTAAATGGATATCTATTATTAGTACATAAATGACCAATGATAATATATATATATATATATATATATATATATATATATACTGTGGATGAAGTACCATAAGAATATATTATATTTTAAAATGGAATTATCAAAAGTCTATGATGAATGAACAATATGTGATTTATTTTTTAACATTATTTTTTAACTTTTAAATGATACATTAATATATGTGTGAATATACACATATCCAAATGCAAATGAACATCTATGTATCAAATTTAAATAAACATCTATCAATATTAGAGTTAAAATGTATATATATAGTATTATATATTCAAATGACGCTCATGAGCATATATTAATTTAATACTCTATTCGTCCCCGAAAGAACGAGCCTTTTTGCCTAAATCTATTCCCAAAACGATCATCTCATTTGCATTAAAATATTCACCAATTTGCAACAATACTTGTACAAAGTTAGCTTTTCCATTTTGTTTTTCCATGTACGTACTTTTTATTACATCTCTCTCTTTACTTTTTTGCAAACCCTATGTGAATTTCACTTTCCAATATAACTTTTACTGCTAACTTTTTTATTTTCTTAATACCCGTGAAATCAACCCAAAAAGGTCGTTTTCGGGGATGGAGGGAGTATGAAGTTAAACATGTATTATTATAATCTATGTGGATATTTTCAATATGAGAATGAACATGTACGTATTTAAATTCAAATAATGAACATTTGTTTAAATACCAGTAAACATTCATTAATACGTGAATGATTATAAACAAAACTAGGGTAATTATATCTAAGGTAATAATGTTAATGATCATGTACTAATAATATGATGAATATCTATTATAATGAAAATGATTATTTACCAAAAAGTCATTTTCAATATAAACTAATTTAAATCTTAGTTTTCTATGAAAACACAAATAATCCAAAAAATTAGCAAAATGAATATATTTTCCAAGTGAATTTTATCTTTCAGTATGATAATGAACATTAAAATACGAACAAACATCTAATGAAATTCTAATGTATTATTTATTAATACGTGAATGAACATAGATTCATATTATAATGATCATCAATCAAAATGAGAATGAACATTTATCAAAAAATAATTTCCACTATAAATTAAATTAAATTTCAAATAATACAAATTCATGCCAAAATTCCTTGGATCTGTAGAAAAGAATTAAAGATGCATATATATAGAAATGAACTTTTTTAAAAAATTCTGATGATAATCTATTAATATGTGAATGATAAATTATCAGTATCGTAAATAAACATATATCAAAACAAGAATGAACATCTATCAAAATGAGAATGAACATTTTATCAAAAAGAAAAATAAAAATAAAATTCTTAGTAATCCTACGAAATAACTCCATTAATTTAGAAAATTACAATTGTCATTTTGAGTCCAATAACTTTATAATTCAAGAATGCACCATACATTAATTCAACACAAATCTAGAATTTCTATATTATAACATAATCCAACCCTAATTATATTACTTTTACAAAAAAATTATAGACTTCAAAAACTCTTACCATCTTTTAGATCTATAGAAGAAATTGAAGAAGAAGGCAAATATTACAACGAAAAATTTCCGCGCGACAAATATGACAAGATTTCAGTGACGCTTATAACAATGGAAAATAACAATCAATCAGTTTGCAATCCTTTTGAAGTACCAAAAAAGGACATGGTTGTTTGAGGAGAGAGAAAATGAAGAATTGTGGTCTTTGGAAGTTTAGAGAGAGAAACAAGAATTGTGGTCTTTGGAGAGAGGAAATAAAGATGATACGATGAAGCAAGCTTCTGAAATCACTAATATGAGTATATTTTTTAAAAAAATCTGGTCTACATATTTAAGGTAGTGGGAGGGGTTTAATACATTGCGTTTAAGGTAGGGGTGTTCAAAAATATCCGGTCCGAAATATCCGATCCGAAAATCCGATCTGAAATTTCGGATATCCGATCTGGTTTTTAAGGTTTCGGATATTTCGGATCGGATATCCGAAAAAAATTCGGATTTTCGGATCGGATACGGATCAGATTTTGTCCGAAAATTTTAACTACCCGATCCAAAAACCCGACTATTCGATCCGAATATCCGACTATCCGATCTGAAAATTCGAATATCCGAAAATTTCGGATCGGATTCGGATCGCAATTTCTCCGATCCGAAATTGAACAGCCCTAGTTTAAGGGGGGTGTAGGTAGTGTTAGCTACACTAGGGTATAGCTCTTACTAATTACCGTTCAATTAAGTTGTTTGTAGGGCCCATTTTGAATTTGGACCCTTATGGACCAAAATAGTCTCCAAAACCTTTACGGAGCATTTTTAACATGTAAATCAACAAAAAAAAATATTAATGAGTAAAAAGTGAACCCACTAACATAATTTGTTAATAGCGGGAATACCACAAAATTACTATTTGAAAACTAAATGTACTTTGTGAATTACAATGTGAAATGTGATACTCCCTCTTCCCTAATTGTTTGTCCCATATTCTATTTTTGGATGTCCCCTTAAAAATTACTCCATTTCCTTATATGGTAATATGTTCCCACCATCAATCTCACTTGCACACAATTATAAAACTACAAAAGACCAGGATACCCCAACTCAATCGCAAACTTTGATTCAATCCTTAATAAAGCACATTTTGTCTATGGGACAAACAAATAGGGACAGAGAGAGTATATGAAAGGCACAACATTAAATAGTGAAATTAAAAGGTTTAATGCATAAAAAAACCCAAAAAAAATTTATTCTCCTATCCAAAATTCAATCTCCTAGCACCATTGCACCAATTAACTTTCTTCAGATGGTTGTTATCAAAATTGACAGGTTGACAGAGAATAGCAAGCAAATTAGTTACCATTTAAGAGCCAAAAATCATGTTTTTGTTGTCCAATATATGGAGGAGAAAATTAACTTTCAGTTCTTGTACTAGTCAGAAGTTCGATATTCTATTGCAAGACAAAGATGACATCTCTAAATTAAGAGAACTCAATATTTTTTTTGGAATTAATTTGAATGATTTGCAAATGGTTATTGTAAGTATGCCTCGCCTAAGAAATTAGCTCATCTGCACTGACATCTAAGCAGCATAATAACAGTAGAGTCCTAACCAACAAATCTAATTAGCTTAAGATTTAGGCAAGGTACAAACCATTTACAACAAACACAATCTGAAAGCTATCTAAAATCACCAAGCTGCATCCAATTTCATATAAATTATAGATACACAACATGGTGACACTAAAAACTACAAAGTTTCGGTTTACATCCACCTGCCTCATCATCATTACATAAAATAATGCAAACTTGTACTTTTTGTTACATCAAATATGCTGCTTGAATGATTCAATCTCCTGCAATTCACAATACGAACTATCAGCTGAATTTCAACCTAGTTTCACAAACCTATACCACGCGGAAATCACAGGGCCTTTTTTTTGACAGGGCCTTTAATTGTGCATTTACCACTGACCTATGAACTATTGTATGTATTATTCATCTATGACACTGAAAAAGGGACTCGTAAAATAGTCAATTACCGTCATTTTTTAAAATTGAAAGCATTGATGCTTTCCTGACAGAAAATTCTACATCATGCGCACTGTCATGTCAGCCATAATCATCAGTCTGTTATCCGTTTGTAATCTCTGCAGGCAGACATTAAAACTTAATCATTAGTTCATCAATTCAGCAGAAGACTAAGCCATACTTTATGAAATTAGAGAAATATGTTTAATGTATGTGAGCAACTACCTCTAAAAGAAACATTATCTCTGCCCTTGAGTAGCTAGTAGCTGCCTCTTCATTGATTACCCTGTCAATATCTGCAATAGTTATCACATCCAAATAGTTTGCTCGCATGTGCTGACCAAAAATAGAATTAAATGCTTCCACCCTGTAGTTTCAAAAGGCAAAAGGTAAACACAGTGAGCAGTCCAAATCAAGGAATACATTAAGTATTAGGTGAAGAGAGCATATAAAAAGAGTAGAGCAAACATACCTCTCAGGAGATATGTTGATTGCTGACTGGTCTGCTGGTGGCTCATCAACTTCCATAGCTTCGGTTGCTTCACTGAGTTGAGGAAAGAAGACCATCAGTTAAAAGAAAAAGTAAAATGGGGTAGACTACCATTCATCCAAAACATTTACAGCTTGCTCGACAATTTGAGCTCATGATATTTGTTCATACACTAGTGAAGATGGACAAGGCAGGAGATAATTGGATTAGTATTTAATAAGCTAGATGCACTTCCTTTTAAGAAGTTTAAACCTGATCATATTCACTCAAAGACAACATACATACCATCAACACTAACATAATTTAATGCCTCTAAAGAACTTTTGTGTGGCACCAGCTGGAGAGGATTCAGATGTTGCTTTTTAATGCAGATGTATGCAATCTTACATAGTTACCTCACAGCATTGGTAGTTGTTCGCTTGTTGTCAATCGGCCCTTGACTCAATGATTATTTTCTACTTCGTAATAGATAACCCATAAACCGAGTCATTCTAATTTAGTCCATTATTATTCTAAAAACAATGTATAGCAATTTTACTTCAAGGGTTGTTGACTTTTCCCAAAAAAAAAGGGGGTCGATAAAGAGTCCCTAAAACTATTACTTCCTCCGTTCCAATCAGTGGCGGAACCAGAATTTTAAAGTGAGGGGGGCCAAGATCATATCTATGCATAGGTTTGAACTCTAGACATCTTGCCCACAATCACATGGAAAAAACCAACTCTTCTACACTACAACTTATAACAAGTATAAGCTAATTTAATATTTATCTTGAGCCAAGGGAGAGGCCATGGCCCACCCTTGGCTCCGCCCCGCTTGGCTCCGCCCTTAGTTCCAATAATATTGCAACAATGGGACTTTTGTACTATTTATCACTCTTTTTTGGCCATATAATATGATTTATACATTAAGCAAAATATAACCATGTGACATCTTGTTAGATTCAACTCATATACTTTCACAATATTAACTTTTTAAAAATTTTACTCTTATACAATTATAGATATTTAACATATAAAATATGCTTTGGAATAAGTAATTTCATCCTTGTTGCAATATTATTGGAATGGAGGAAGTATAAGCTTTGGAAGAATAGAATACATTCTTGAGTCTACTATCATCTCATCACTCACCAATCAAATGCAAATGGTAAAAGATAAAATGAGGGTATACGATGACAAAAGAATTACGCAATCACCAAGTTATTGCAATGTTTTTTTTTTTTGTAGTACATAGCCACTAAAGTTCACGTGCATGAATTCAGAAAACTATTGAATTGTCAAGAGTCCATAAATATTGACCCCTGGATTGCTATCATTTTATTAGTTAAGATAATGCCAGTGATATTTAATGCAACAAGTATTTAATATAATCTTCTCAAATTTCAATCATTGAAATGTTATTGTGAGAGATGTGAGAAACATATAAAGAACAAGGATGCTCATTACATACCCTTCTGTGGCAGCTTCATCCCCTTGGCCAGACCTATCATTGCGACGATGACGCTGAACTCGTTCATTGTTGTTAGCATCACGATCAGCTTGGCGCTTCCTTTCCATTTCTCTCTCCCTTCCTTGCTCACGTTCATCCATCTCAGTCAATTCTTTATGATATATGGCAAAGTTAAGAACTTTAAGAGCAGCTTCAACATCAGATTTTAAAACCTGTAAATCAATTGTTAACTTGGTGTCCTATCATAATAAAAACATAATAAAGAACCTTAACAAGTGACCTGGAATAATAGACAAGTACTATTATAAAAGACCTCTACTAGGATGAACAACTAGAATAGTGTGTTTCCAAACGTTGGTAAAGCGTGCAGAGAAGTCGATCTTTTCATTAAATCAACATCCCAGATATTTTCCGTATTCCTAAAGTGACGGAGCACACAAACAAGTTGGAAACTCCAAGAATTGTAGAATTTGTGAAAGAATCAAGTCATTCAACCAACTTTATCAACCTTATCCACACTAAACCAAGCTAAGGTTTGCCTAGTGGAAAGAAGAGTACCTTACAACCATGAGGTTGGAGGTTCAATCTCCACTAGGGGCAATTTGGTGAAGGAATTCCTGTATCTTTCCACCCACTCTTCAAATTGTCTAGTGGGGTTTCACCTTGATAGGACCCTTCTTTTACCTACCCAAATTATTTTATCCAGGCTATGAAGATTTTCTTACAAAAGATACAGCAGAAGTGACATCAAAATGGCTAATGACAATCGATTCAAATTCACTTGGGCAACTTTTACTTGGTAACATTGGCTTTTGGATTCAATTAAACCAGTTAATGATTATTTCAAAAGACACAGCTCTACTTCATATAACCTGGCAAGCTTTGACTCCTTTGAAAACGTATATTAAGCACTCACAGACTATCATTCAGTTAACTCTCACTACGGTACCTTTGACCTTAATCTACTCATTCACAATGATAGACTAATAGCAGGGTCTGGTCTGATCTGAATTTTGTGGTCTGACCTGGGTCTGGTCTGATTTCTTTGTCTGGTTTGTTTAGTTTCCTTTAAAATCTTGTCTAGTCTGGACTGATTTTCTGATCTGAATTTTTCTGATCAAGGCTTTGATTGATTAGATTTTTCTGATGAAGTCTGATACTCTGATCTAATTTGATTTTATCAAGAATAAGTAACAAGAATAAGATGAAGAGAATTAAGCTTAACATTGATAAGAATGAGAACCAACAAGATGCAAACAGGAATAACTGACTATGCCATCAAGGAGTCAGGACTATAAAATGGAGTGACAGCAGCAGCCTGCCAGCAGGAAGAATCCCAAACCCCTTAGTGGCTTCTGATTTATAAACAAATAAAAAACAAACACCAATATTTTTAGCATTTGTTCTAGTTACCGTTCTGCTCAATTTCAGCTTAGCATGTGCAGTTGAAAGTCGTATAATTGTTTCAAGTGTTCTGGCAGTGATAGGCAGAGTTCCACCCCCACCCTACAAGAAAAAGTGTTTTTTTCACTTATCAGTAAAATCATGTACATGGAAATTAATTTCCAAACAGTGGCTTGGAAATTTACCTTAGCATTTGAGTTAGCATTTCTAAGCTCTGCATATGCAGTTGCGATATTTTCAGATGCCTGCAAACAAAGACTACAAGAATCAGCAAGAAAATATAAATCTTCAATTTCTATTTTATGAAACTATGTTCAATACATAGACATTAGTTAGTAAAACAAAGGAGGGTAGCATGTTAAAATTTGGCTACCTCGTCACTCAGCTCTGGCTGGACTCTGTGCTTTGCATAATGAATGTATTTCTTAAGAAAATTAATTGTTAAAGTCTCTTGCTTCCTCCCCCTCTGAGCCTTCTTTCCATGCAGCATTCTATTAAACTTGACATAGACAGATGAACCAGCATCTACCTCTTCTTCTTCCCCATATTGTGAATTATCAAGTGTCCCGTCTCCTACATACATAGACAGTTAGGTATACATTTCAAAAACAGAGTTTAAGAGATATACTCCACATAAAAGGGTAGTTACCTCCATCCAGTTGGGAGCGGTAACGATGCATACGCAAGACATGCTCAGAAATATAACCATCTATCTCGGGATCCATTTGGTCCAACACAATAAATAGCAGATCAAAACGAGAAAGTAAAGAGTCAGGCAATCCAATATTCTTGGTGGGAGTCAATGATCGATCATACTGCAGCACAAAATAACAATTTCGAAATCAGGGCATAAAACAAAGGGTACATGAAAAGGCATGCGTATAAAATAACACGGAGCTCAACTTACAGTTCCATAGATAGGATTTGCAGCAGCCACAACACTGCATCGAGCATTTAGGGATGCATGGATACCAGCCTTTGCAATGGTGACTGTCTGCTGTTCCATAACTTCATGTATAGCAACACGATCTAGGTCATTCATCTTGTCAAACTCATCAATGCATATGACACCACGATCAGCAAGAACCATGGCTCCAGCCTCTAGCCTTCTTTCTCCTGTTCACACCAAACACTTGTTAATTGAGCAGTCAGAAAAATCAGAGAAAATGACTAGAGCATCTCAAGGGGTATAACCTGTTTCCTGGTCAGAAGTCACAGCTGCTGTCAGACCAACACCTGAGGAGCCCCGACCAGTTGTTGAAATGGCCAACGGTGCAATATTCATGATTGCTCTTAGCAGTTGGGACTTAGCAACAGAAGGATCACCAACCATCATCATGTTTATGTCACTGGTAATAAAGGATTATTAGTTAGCAGTCTTTCTAGTGAAATACAAGTATCAAAAAGGACCACTGTAATTCTGATGAGAAAAAAAGAAAGAAGTGAAGCCGAAAGTTTAGATGTAAGACTTGTAAGTAACTAACCCTCTTAAGTGAGTTCCATTCTTCAAATTCTTCTCAGTCCCACCAAGCATTAGTAATATAACTGCCTTCTTAATCCACAAGTGTCCATAAATAGATGGTGCAAGGGAATTGCCAAGCAGATCAAATATATCTTGCCTATCAGCTATATTCTTAATGTTCTTCAGGTCTTCAGGGGAATAAATGGGTGCATTTGCCTCTTTATTCAGCAGGGTCACATTATTAGCTATGAGAATTGTCCTATGAAAACAATGGTCATGTCAATTGCTAATTAATGTGTAAACAGTCTGGCCCAAAGTAAAAGAAAAACAGCTTCAGCACCATTATATTGTGAGTGGCCAAACCTGAAAACTCCATTCACACTACCCTTATTTTTTCCAGGTAGAGCTTTGTAGACCCCAACTATTGCAACACGGTCTCCAGGTTTGCATGCATCAACAAGGTCATCCTCAACTATGACATCTATAGTTCTTGGAAGCTGGCCAGGGGCAGATTTTTCAGGCACTTCTTGCATTGATAAAGTTTGATGATCTTTGTATTTACACAATCCATATTCAGTCACCAGTAGGTTTCCATTCTCATCCTATAAATGTGTTTTTGTCATAAGAAAAAACATACATGCTTATTATGATAAACAAAGTCTTAGGTGACGAAAATTGAGCATTACCCGGGTAGGATAGACAGAACCAGTAGGCAAGCCTGTAGAAGATGTAATATCTCGATACTCTCTGGAAGTGAATCTGCCAGTTGAGGGGCAGAAATGAACACTTTTTACAACCTTAGGTCTCACAAGAGAACCTGAAAGAAGGAAAAAGTTAACTAGTAGCATTCTATGAAATGTGATAATTACTACCAAAATAAGAAAATTAAAAAGGCATGCGTGAATTAAAGCTTGAATCTGACAGCAGTTATTGATTACTTTTATTTCAAATTCTTTCAGCAAAGCATATAGAATGGCGCATGAGTTTTGAGAAAAACCTCAGTCCTTATTTAAAGTTGGCTAAATTGCACAAACACTTATAATTTTCATTCTAATAGACAAACTTATCGTCATAACAGGTTTCGACTTTCAGGGAACACCAAAAAGCCTCACTCATCCTGATCCAAAGACTCAGAGGAAACAAATGATCTTTAATAGTAAATTAGTAATTGTACAAATCTCAAAAGTCAAAAACCAAATTCAACCACTTCTACTGCCAAATACTGCTTGACAAAATGCGACAAAATCCATCTTTTATCATAATAATGCTATTTTTCATTCTTTAATCAACTGCCCATTTTCAGACTTCTCCAATTGACTACACAGGCAAGTTCTTTCTCACTCTTTTGGTTACATAATACATACCCAAATGCCAACTACTCACCCCTAACCTCCCTCTATGGCTCTATACCAAAGGGACCGATACAAATAAATCCCAGGACTTACGAACAAAACTTCAAGCTTGTATCGGTCACAATTACAGAAAACAAATCAAACTCAAACCAAAAATATCATATTTAAACCAAAACAAACACAAATTTCGACACAAACTGACAATCAAACAGCATAAATGAACACTATACTACCAAATAATCAGGACAAAGCTAAAAGAGGGAAAGAAAAATTACATTTCGTAACGATTCCTTCGACACAAACCATAGAACCAATGAACTGGGACAGAAGATCTCTAGGAGTAACCCTTCTAGAAACAAATGGGCCATCAAAACCTACAACAACTTGCTCGCCTTCCTTCAAAAACTTAGGATCAATACTCCGAGTAACTTCCGTCACCGCGTCACAAAACGGTTGAATGTACTCAGTAGGATTCCTCAACAACCTAACAATCAACAAAACCCAAAAGCCCTAATTTTAAAAATTCAATTTTTTTTTTTCAAATTAAGGAAATTAATCAAAAGGGGTAAAATTATCAGCAGAAATAAGATAAATCAACCTGCGAGCTAAGTCGGAATTGTAGTCATGAAGGTCAGAGAGGTTGACGATTACGCGGCGGCGCTGCTTGTTCGTAATCATTTTCCGGATGGTATCCATGTAGATTCCATGACCCACCTGCTCAAATCAAGAACAAAAGAGAAAAAGGTGAAGATTAGAGTAAAAATGAGAAGAAATGTTGAGGAAATTGGAAATTAGAATAGATGAAATTAGGGTTTATACGTCGTGATCTAAGAAGTCGAGAAAGGTGCGCTTGTGAGCTGCAAATGTTTCTTCACTGATATCCATTGAAAGCGCAACAATGGCCGATGAGAGAGATGGGAGGAGAGAGAAAGAAGAGAGAGGAGAGAGAAAGAGGGAGTTTTGGAAATGGTGGTTGACGGGAGGAAGGGCGGGGTTTTCAGATGAGGGAGTAGGGGTTTTTGGTTTTGGCGGGAAAATGTGATGTTTTCTTCCTTAATTTGGCGGGAACAAGTGTGATGTACGGTATGTGTCTTTCTTTTTCGTTCCTTTTCTTTTTTATTTTGGTTCACAAGCAATTAGAATTTTTCATGAATTGCAAATATATGGAAATTAAATTCCTTTATGTTAAATATTTACCAATGGTAAGAGATTTATTTGTGAAGGGATAAAGATAGAAAGCAAGTAGTAGTATGATAAAAAGTTTTTGTTCTTGCAACTTCGTTCACAATACGTGAACTTGCTTATATATAGCCAAATAATAGTATATACTATTGTACTACATGCAAATTATTGTACTTGGTAAAATTTACATTAACCAGTTAAAATCTCATATAAACTTTAATCATGTTTGTATTTTTCTCAACACTCCCCCTTTGAACGTTCACATGGAATGGGGAACGAGTTGCCTCATTAAAAACCTTGCTAGGCAAACCCTGTGGGATAAAAACTATAGATAGGGAAAAAGAGTACAACTATATAGTATTATATGCTCTGGTATAGTGCCTCGTTAAAAACCTTGTCAGGAAAAATCCAGTGGGATAAAACCCGGTTGAAGGGAGAAAGAGTGCAGTACATATAATACTCCCCTTGATTTCAGCATAGTTCACGAAGATGCCGCATTCCGATTTTGTGAACTAATTGCTCAAATTTCTTCGAAGGAAGTGATTTGGTGAATAGGTCGGCAAGGTTGTCACAAGACTGAATTTGCTGGATATCTATTTTCTCACCCTTTTGCAGATCATGCGTGAAGAATAGTTTTGGGGCAATATGTTTTGGTTTATCTCCCTTAACATATCCTTCAGTTACTTGAGCAATGCATGTTGTATTATCTTCAAAGATGATGGTTGGATTTCTTATTATTGCGTTCATTCCACACTCTTCTTGGATATTACCAATCATCGACCTTAGCCATACACAATCTCGTCCTGCTTCATAAAGAGCTATCAACTCTGCATGATTCGATGATGTCGCGGTTAATGTCTGCTTTGTTGATTTCCATGATATTGCAGTGCCACCATAAGTGAACACATATCCATTTTGTGACTTGGCATTTTGAGGATCCAATAAGTATCCAGCGTCTGTGTACCCAATGAGAGTAGCAACTTGTTTCGGTTGATAATATAAACCAAGGTCTTATGTCCCTCGTAGGTACCAGAGTAAGTGTCGAACTTCCTTCCAATGCCTATATGTTGGCGCATTGATGTTCCTGGCTAACAAGTTCATCGAGAAAGCTATGTCGGGTCTAGTGTTGTTAGCTAAGTACATTAAGGCTCCAATTGCACTTAAGTATAATACTTCTGGACCCAAAACTTTTTCATTTTCTTCTCGGGGTCTGAATGGATCATTTTTCACATTCAAAGAATGAACAACCGTTGGGAAGTTGGTTGGAGTTGATTTGTCCATGAAGAATATTTTCAAAACTCTTTATGTATAGTTTGATTGATGGACAAAAATACCATGACTCAAGTGCTCAATTTGCAATCCAAGGCAAAATTTAGTTTTCCCTAGGTGTAGACACCCAAATGTGTCTCCTCAAAACAATACCCAGTGATGAATACCTTTCACGTCATTTGATTATCGAACGAGGTGAACGTGTGAAAAGTCTAGTGATATGGATGTTTTTATATCTCTCTTTCTGTTTCAAAAATATTTATTCTTTTACTCTATTTATGAAAATAGCTAGTCCAATTTAGTTTGGTCCATGATAAGGGTCCAATAGTAGTGTAGTTGGATTGGGCTCGAAAAGAGCTTTCCAACGATATATTATAAGCTCAATTCCGATGAATAATGAGGAAGTTATGGATTAAATTAAATTAGACACAAAATGATTTTACATGTGGCCCAATGAACTAGAGGAGGGCCTATTAATTATCATTCCTAAAGTTATTAGGATTGATTTTAATCTTCTAGAATAATCTAGAATGTTCTTTCAAATTCTAATAAGATTAGGATTGATAATTATATTTTGAATAAAATATGTGATTTGTCACGAATATGATTTTAATTTGCTTAACGCAGAATTAGTTGCTTCTTAATCGTATTAAGAGGATGATTCTGCGTACAAATCGCGTTTTAATTTTGACTTAGCGCGAGACGACACAGCTGTCGCCTGGCGCTGCTCCTGTCACTCTTTTTTTTTACCTTATATATATATATATATATATATATATATATATATATATATATATATATATATATATTTATATTCTAATCTTGTGATAATTATATCAACTGTAAACTTATATATAAACTTAACATAATTAGTGAAATATGGACTTTTTTTTTGTAGGAAAGACAAACATTATATATTTTTCTTGATTTTTTATTATGAATAGAAGCTACGAGCTTAAATAATTAAATTCGAATATCAAATCAAAAAATGATACTTTGATTATTTCTTTGCATAATTTATGATTAGAATTTCATCAAATTAACTCTATAATTAAATAAGAATACTTTAATAATATACCTACCAAGTATGATTATTGTTAGTGTGATTTTTCCTACCATTATTGTTGTTGGTTGGTTATTCATTATTCAATTGATAAAAATATAACATACGAAAGTAAAAAATTTAATATAGTGTTAGTTTAAAAAATAGTTATTGAAAATTACCGTGCGCGGCACGGGATCTAACTTTTTTTTTTTTTAAGGATGGGATCTAACCTAGTAAGTAGTAAGTCAATAAGTGTTACACTTTGACCAACACACACATGTTGAGACTTAGTTGGCTTTGACCATTAATTTATCTCATTGAATTGTATGTTAGGAAAGTTATTAAAAAATTGATATTGTGAAAGTAAACATTATAACGAATCCAACAATTTAATGTACAATAACATATATATAAATTAATCAAGTCAAAAACATTATGTGAACAGTGAAAGAAGTCAAAATTTAACACTAATTAAAACACAAAAGGGGTAATAGAACATCTAAAAATACACAAATTCTTAAATGTTGACTAGCCATTATGAGGTTTACTTTGTTAATGTTATATGGATTACTCGGTCTGTGTTGCAGGGGTTACTTTGTCAATATTAGCTTAAGGTTTTTTGGAAATCCCACTTGAATGTTACAATACTGAATATGACCTGCTTGGTCCATACACTTGCAAAACAACGAAACCCCGATTTAATGGAGTTTCGCCTCCAACGATCAAGTTAGTTTGAAAGGTCAAAAGTCAAAACAATAAATTGGAATGGTATTAATTGCACTTATACTACCCTAATCATTTCTCAATGTGTATTAACTATTATTAATGATGTACTTTTATGGTGCATGGAAATGTTAGGGTTTTAACTTAATTACATTGTTAGGGTAAATAAGTAGAACCTTATTCAGATAAGCTTGACGTAAGATACCTACCACACGTTCAACTCTGATTGGCCTAACTAGGCTGAGTTGGTTTGTCACGTGTCATGATCAGAGAAGGTATTTTTACCCTAACCATTTGCACCTTAGAGAAGATGAGTGATCTGCCACATTATCTCATATAGACTCAATGGCACAAATGAAATAATGCCTTTGGTGAAAATGGTAACCTTTAGTAAATCGTAACTCCACCATTTTATCCCTTAAAATACTCCCCTTTCACCCCTTTTTTCCTCACACTTTCCTTTTTTGCTTCACAAAATGTTTTGGAGTAATTTTATGGGCAGGTAGGAATATTTTCAACCGAGGTTGTTCTTTGGAGAGGCAATTGAGTTCATCTGTCCTTTACCGATTATTCATCACATTTTCACGGTTTGAAGCGGCATTTGATTTTTATTTGATTTAATTAGACGAGAATTTTTTTTCTCCTTTTCCCCGATCATTTAGAAGTGGAAGATGAGACTCTAGAATCATGGGCGGCTATTTATGAAAAAACGGGTTCGACTGTTGTAGACACCTAAAAATGTCTTCCTGAAACCAAACCCGATGATGAACAAACTTTCATTTCCATTATTGGTCGGGTTGGGTATTTAATCTTTGGAGTACTTAAATCCTATTCAATCCCAATACATTTCATAAACAACCCAATTCCTAGCCCATTTCCCCAAACCATAAATTAATTTCCTCTTTTCGTGCCTTTAAACCCAAAATAATTCATTTTGTGTCCTTTAAAATCATTCATTTTCGTGTCCTTTTTTATAAAAACGTTTAGTCTAGTTTATTTTGGTCTATAATCTGAGTCTAATGATTGACTATTTGGATGGGGATTCAAAAGAGCTTTCCAAAGATATATTATAAGCCCAAATCTGAGTTATAACGAATAAGTTATGGCCAAAATACTAAACTGAGCCTAAACCGAACCTAAGCCCACCTTACCTACGGCCCAATGATCATGTGGAGGGTCCACAAGCTTTAATCCCATCCCTAAACCAATTAATATTAGTTGGAAGCTTATATAAGTTTCTAAAAGATCTTAATTATTCTTTTTGAAAAAGATAAGATTAAAGTGTTGGACATTGAACAAAACTTTTCTTTTTTGAAAGTCCTAATTCTATTCGAATTGAAAGACGTTCAAAGATAGTTAGATATTAATTTTGTGCCTCATATTTTTTATCCAAATATTATATGTTTGGATAGTTCTTGAAATTATCTTTCCAATGATATATTATAATATCAATTCCGAGCTATAACGGAAAAGATATGAATGAAATACCAAACTCTATCCAAACTGATACCGTCTCACTATTTCGGCCATATCTTTTATTCTACAAAATATTTTAATTTGATTTTAATTGGGTTATAAAGTAGGCTTCATTATCTCTCCAACGATATATTATTTATCTTATTCCGATTTCTGGATCAAAAGATATGATAAAATCAAAAATTGCAAAAACTACTATCTATCGGGTTTTATTCTGATTAAATTCGGATCTTATCTTAATTCTTAGACCCTTCTTTTTTCATTATAAATAGAGGTTATATCACCCATTTTTCAATCATTAACAAGCTTGATCACCAAATCATTCTCTTTTCTTCTCTTCCTCTCTTTCACACCAAAAATCATTATCTTCTCTCTCTCTCATATTCTAAGCCTTAAACCTATAATTCTAATTACACCATTCTTCCCTTAAGCACTCCAAGGAGTCCATACTCGACCCGAGGTTCCGTCCTTAAACCAAGGTGTGAAAGGTACAAATAACTGAGTGTTTGAACCAAATCAACTCTACATTTATTTAATTTAATTTCCATTTGATTTATTTTTATTGAAGTTACTAGCAAT